TGTGCTCCATAGTTTTCTCTTTAATTGCAGGGTTTCAATCCAGTTGGGCCATTTGAAGCAACATGCCATTGTTTTGTGGTTGTCTGAAATGCGGCTGCCTGGCACAGCGTCTATCTTATACACACACACACAGACATTCACAGCAGGGCTATAATTTCCCTGCACATGTGGTTACACTGCCAAAGACTCCAGATTTCTGTAGAAATCCCGGTTCTGTTGAAGCTGCTGGCCCACAGTGAAGGTTTCGCACCAGTCCTAGTGCCCACTGGCAAAATAATATTCTAATAAGTCTCTTGGCCTTTTTTTTATTTTACTCTGGCTATATTCACAGATTCCTTTATAGAGTTAGGTTGTCATTCCATTTTTGGAATGACGTACAGCTTACCAGAAATATTCTTTTTATGACCTAAATAAAATAAACCTAATCACAGTATATGCGTCACGCCCCTGGACTCATTCTGTGTGTTTTTCCCTCTCCACGTGCTCGATGACCCAGTTTTCCCTTGTTAATTGTTTATTGAGTTCCAGGTGTGTGTTGTCAATTACCCAATGTATTTAAGGTCCTGTCTGTGCTTTCTGAGTTTGTCCGCTTTTGAATGTCGTCTTCCCCGCTACGTGTGTTTTCCTGGTTCCTTGGATGTTCATTAAAATCTCTTTGTTTGAAGTATTCTCCTCGTTCCTCGCTCCTTGATCCTCACAGTAGCGGTAACGTGACAGAATACCGGACCAAAACAGTAACCTCCATGTCTTCCCTCCGTTTTTGTTTCCGCGTTTTACCCAGTGTTTTTTGTTTCCGTAGTGTTCCCTCATAGATCTTCCCGCCCGCCCTGAATACCACCTCCCCCTCCTGCTGGAGCAGGGGGAAAGATCGCTCGAGGGCCACACCAGACTGTTCCTGGTCCTCGCCAATCTCTGCAGCTACCCGGGCGACACGCTCTGTGCGTTCTATGATGCCAGTCTAAACCCGGCATACAGAGCACGTCGTCCGAGGAAGGCCCTCGAGCGAATTTCGCCACATTTGTGGAGTGGACACTCCAGACCCAGTGCCCAGCCTACCATCTCCCCGCTGCGCGGAGCGCATGCCCGAGCCCACCGCTGACAAAGAGCCCGAGCTCGCCGTGGCCGACGAGCCATTGCCAAATGGAGCGACAGAGCAACGGATCACCGCGGAGCCGGAGCTGCAAGTGACGTCAGTCAAGGTGCTAGAGCCGGCAACAGAGCCCGCCATGAGGGAGAATGCCGCGGACAGAGAGAGCGCGGAGTGGAGCTCCTCCCACTGCACTGCAGTTGAGAGAGTGAGCTGATCATACAGCTGGGACTGCTGGACTTCGAGGGGGACCTTATAGACTGGGAATCAGAGCTGGAAGCCAACTTGCCCCCTCTCCTCTCTCCTTCGTCCCCGCTGGTCCCGTCCAGCCCTGAGAGGGCTCCAGTCCCCGAGTCTAGTCCAGAGAGGGCCCCAGTCCCCGAGTTTAGCCCAGAGAGGGCTCCAGTCCCGGAGTTTAGCCCTGAGAAAGTTCCTGTTCCCATGTCTAGCCCAGAGAAAGTTCCTCCGCGGCCTTTTGGATCCACGCCTCTGCGTCAGTCGCCGGCGCCATTCCAAATCCTTCCTGTCGCCTCCCTGGCTCCTCCCTCTATCGTCACCTCCCTGGACTCTGTCTGCCAGCCCCCTCTCGGGTGTCCATCCTCCTCCCGAGCCTCCTCCCTAATTCCCACCTGTGCACCCCCTCTGTTGTTCTACGGCACGAGGACGCGCCTTCCGGGAGGGGGGGTGATATGTCACGCCCCTGGACTCATTCTGTTTGTTTTTCCCTCTCCACGTGCTCCTTGACCCAACTAACAAAAAGTGCAAAGTAACAAGTAGAAAAATAGAAAAATGCACAAAGAACGTGTATTGTCACGGTTGCCTTCTGTGGCGAAACGAAGAACAAGGAGATGTGGGATAAACTCAAAGTAAATGTCTTTAATCATCCAAGACGGGGTAAAACAAGGCAGGCAGGGATCTGTCTGTCTGTCTATCTACACACACACATATATGTGTGTGTGTGTGTGTGTGAGTCAACCATCTTACAGTTTTTTCCAATTGATATCAAGTGTTTACCTATACTTAAAGTACTTTTTCTAAACTCTTAACACAGCAACACACCTACATCACACAATTAGCCAAAACGTTAATTTTTTGGCCAAAACCACATTTTGTTAAATTAATACAAACTCTACATTTCAAAATGCTGAATACATTTTTCTACATAAAAACATAACTAAATTTCTACATAACTAACTCTATCAAAACACAGCAAACCCGATTCAAAATCGAGTCATTCGGTCAAAACATTAGCACTACTTTTCTATCCAACAGGAAAATATAGTCAATCATAGCACAGTGACTGTCAAAATACTAACAGTTGATGACTTTACAAAAACTGCATTACCTGTCATGTTTCAGTTCTACCTGCATATAGACAATATAAAAAATCCATAGTTTTTTGTAATTTAGTTACCTTCAACTGAAACCCATTTTAAATTTTTAAGTGTTGAATTTCTTGGCAACATACTGTCTAAAACTGAATGAGTCATTACTTTATAGAATGTACAATAGAAAAAAATAGGGTCCCCTATGCAGAAATTCAGTTGGAACCTTGATTGAAATTGCTTTCAATGGTGCCCCTATGGTAGCTGATGCCAGTGATCAACTAAAATAACAACATACATGGCTTTTGGTTACTATGCAGGCTTGTTTCCATCACAGAATAAAAAAGTAAAGACGGTAATTGTGACCTTTTTATCTCACAATTTGGACTTCTATTCTTGGAATTGCGAGTTTAAATCTTGCCATTCAGACTTTATCAGAATAGTGAGATAAATTCACAATTGTGAGAAAAAAAATTGTGAGATAAAAAAAAAACTATGATTTTGGTATGGGGTAAGTTTGTGTGAAAAAAAATTTAAGCATTTTAGAAATGTGTTAATTGACTGAATATTGTGTGAAAACAACATGAATTGTGTTAATGGTATGGTCACAACAGACCGATGTTGTGCTAATTGTGTGTAGAGTTTTGAAAATGCGACTACAGATTGGACAAAGGGATGTTAGCAATTGGAAAAACTGTAATAAAAAAATTTTAATTAAAGGTGTGTTTCTGTTTTCATCAGTATTCACTGAAAAATGCCACACAGGGATTTCTGTGAACATTTTTAAGTAAATTAATTTAACTGAGTCTTTGGAAAATTTGAACTGATTCAAGGAAATTAATTTATGACCAAATCTAACACTGTTTTTGTCACTTAAGTTTAAATCAGACATTATCATGTCTTAATACTGTCATAATCACAAGACAAAGGGAAGGGTAATGTAATGACACTGTCTTTAGGAAAATTAATGGCCATATTGAAAATGCATTGAAATCATTTTAAAATTCACAGTGTTGTTACATTTTATATTACCTGCAAAACCACTGCAAATATATTGTGAATTTTTATTATATTGCCCAGCTCTAGCAGCTATTCATAGTCACAGCAGCAGTTCAATGACATTGTGATAGCATCATTCAGGACAGATGAGTGCTTTGAGAAAGTCTTTTCACTCCTGCATTCTTATGTTTTCTTTCAGTCAGAAGCCAACCGATGAGAGGCGTTATCATAATCAGCGAGCATCAAATTCCATCTCCTAATTTTCTCCTAATGACCTGTTTGAGTTTCTCAGCAGAACCGAACGTCCCTCAAAGTACTTTTTTTCTTTCCTTTCTCCTTAGAACTCAGGACTTAGATGACATGCGAATGACTTAGGAGGATGTTTGACTTTGAATTAATGATTTACGGTACAGTGACGCATTTTGCAAAAGGCAATCATTGCCAATTCCACGAGCCAATAACAGCTGTCATTGCAAAGATGATGGATGCTGAGGGCTGGGAGACTGTGTGTGTGTGTGTGTGTGTGTGATGTAGTGACAGTATGCCATATGAATCCTGCTGAGATCAGGGAGATCCACAGGCATGCTTGCATGTGATCTCCGGCATGCATGCTGAAACAGTCATGCTGCATGCAGCAGTGTCACATCTCACCCGGGGAGTTCAGTTTGTTAAAGAGTTACATATATCTGTCACAATATGCTTTAAGAGTAAGTGGTCTGTAAGTCCTGTGTGTGGTCCTGTAAGATCTAAAGGCACTGCCATATTGCTTTGTGTATGTGTGTTTTTGATGTTTGTTGCTGTGAAACTTTTAGGTCCAGCTGAAACAAAATGCTCAGGAAGCGTTTTTCCTCTTTTGTGCTAATAGAATTATCCTCAGATTACGGTTAAGTATTGCAGGAAGCCAAGCCATCATTCCATGACCATCTTGCTAGATCTATTTTATGTGGGGTGTGATTTTGAGAGGTTTTTGCTTTCATGTTAGTAGACTGAACAATCCCTTTCCTTGTGAAAATAATTGAAATTCACAACTTTGTTTATGTGCGTCATTAATCTCTAATGAATTATGTTTAATTTTACAATTATTATACTGTGTCACTGCAAATTGTCACACTTCCCAGTATCAGGGTTATTTCAATTAATTGTAATTTTTGTTAACATTTTCTGTTTCTGTTTCAAATTTATTTTGTTTTAAGTAACAAAAACTGCTTTATGGTTTTAGTTTTAGTTAACGTTATCATAACATTGCTCAGTATTACCCACAACAAACACTGCCATCTGAAAATGGCTGTTTAAGTGTCACTTGTAATTCCAAGTCTATGATCAGCATACCAAAGACATTTCAAACAGAAACTTGGCGCACCAAAAATAAGGCCCTAATATAGTCTAATTGGGTCTGTAGCTGTTTATTGTTACATCTGCTTGAAAGTAGCTTCAAAAAACTCATCTTGAGTGCAAACCTTATTACTTTGTACTATGTGGTGCTCATATAGGAATCACAAGTTCAATCCTGGCTTGCAACATTCCTTGATCCCATTTGTTTTCCCTCACTGTCATTTCCTGTACTATAAATAAAATGGCAAAATGATCTCATGTTGATTTCTCTTCCTGTCTATCTCTTTCTGCCAGTGTGTGGCTGTGATTTGGCACATTCCGGATTCTTCCAGAAGAGTGGTGAGTACATCTGCACAGCAGACTACCAGCGCCTGTACGGCACAAAGTGTGACAGCTGTGGGGACTTTATCTCAGGGGAGGTGGTCTCTGCTCTGGGCCGCACATATCATCCACAGTGTTTCGTCTGCAGCGTGTGCAGGTGAGCCCTCTATACAGACTACTGAAATGTCATTATGGAAATAGACCCATCAGACAGATTAAACGTGAGGAACGCTGGTGGGATGCTGGTAAATGATGCTCATTTACTAATGTGCTGATGACTGAATCTCATTAATTCACTCCCTGACAGCTATATGCACCCCCACTCATCTATATACTAAGCAATTATAATACAGTTAGTTCTGGTCTTCTAATTTGATCAGCCAAGCGACGTTTCAAGACCGCTGATATTTATATAATTTTCTTTGAAAGAAATTCAGTGTCTGTGATGGGTGAAAATGTTTAGGCTTAAGGAATATCTTCAGTTTAATTGAATTTAATGGATTTGATGGACCACATGTAGAAAGTGGGAAGGCAAACGTGGGAAGGCAAACTCTGACTTCTTGTGCCACATTCTGTCTTATCAGTCCTGACCTTAAAGCAGGGCAAGTAGGGCAGTGTTTTATATATAACCACTTCTTCAGACATACACTGTCAGGGTTGATATCCATCCATATGCCCAAAATTAGCTTCTTTTTTTTTGTTGTTGTTGTTGATAAGTTCATTAAAAAATGTGTTGATCTGCTAATAGTGAGAGAAAATTTACTTGCCATAAAGTCTTACCAGCCGTAAACTGTATTTTGCATATATCAATAGTGATAGATAGATAGATAGATGGATAGATGGATGGATGGATGAATAAATAAGAAATACTGCAAAACAGTTTATGGGCTGCAAGTTTTATGGATAAACATTTATGGCCAAAATGTAAATTTTATAAAGTATAACAATTATATTTTTTTTACATAATACAAAATAGCTTTCACTGTGTACTAGAAATATGAAGATGCATTATCATTTTGTCCTTCATATTTTTGTTAGTGAAATATTCCACATGATCCATTTCTACTGATTTTTTATCTTTAGCAGATCATTTGTACAGTATGTCTTTAATTTGATTTACTCATGTTGTTTAGTTCAGATATTAAAACAGCAGGGTCAAACTATAGTTCTTGTGATTTAATGCATACATTATGTTTCATTTAATAACTTTAATGTACTTGTCAAAGCCAATTTTTATTTGAATTTGCTGCTTGGTGGGTGTTTATTTTGGACCCTCCGTGTAGGCTTCTTCTCTTCGCTTCTCTTGACTAAATTGCCCTAAAGAGTATAATACCACAAGTGGAGTAGGAGCGATCAATGTAGAACGAAGCAGGATATTGTAACATGAGTCAAGGCGGAAGAAAGCTGAGGTTTGGAGCTCAAAATATGCAATAATGCCCAGAAAGTAAGCAGCAAAGGTAAGAAAAGTGTAAATGGAGAAGCTGCTGAAGCTAGAGGTGAATATTTGCCTCACAGACTGAAAGGAGCAAATGAAGAGTAGTTAAAGGCAGTGGTGGAAAACACCATCTCTTGTCTTTTATGTGTGGCCTATTCTCAGACTGACAAGCAAGAAAATGAGAGGTACTGTAAGACATCCCTGCAGGGACACATTATCTGTCTGGCCAACACTGAAACACTGTTATTTGGATCCCCTTTCTTTTTGTAGTAAAAAAATGGGTTTAATAGAACTGGATATTTTCTGCATTTACTGCTTTAGTATTCACATTGGCAGGCTTCTTTTTTTTTTTTTACATTACCTCTGCTCTCTCTCTCTCTTCTCTCTTAAATGCTTTTCCTCTCTCTTTTCTATTCTTTGTTTAGCTTGTGTGGACACTTTGCTGAACTGTAGTGCTGTGAGTTTAGCTGCTAAGGTCTCTGTTATATCCCATTTGTAATTGCAATGTGTTTGCTTTGCTCTGATCTGCAGGAAATTAGTTCCACTGAATAACTCGACCCTCCTCCTTTAGTTCATTAGTACCCCGAAAGAGAGTTAGCACTTGATGAATTTATGTGGGTAGGAAAAGGCATTTTCATAGAGGACTGGGATTGCTTTGTTGGACTGCATTGCCAATTGGGCTACTAAATGGCCCAATGGGATGCTCTTGGCAGGAGTAACCTAAACATTTATCGGCCCGACCAAGAAGTAAACAGTCGACAGGAGAGCTAGATTATGTTACATTTAATTTTTAGACCATCTGTGTGGAAACCAAGCTCTAGATTTAGTGGGCTATCATCCCAGTAGCACTGTCAATGATTATTCAGAAGTCACATTAAAAATCTTCGATGATGGTACAACTCATATTTCTGTACAGCATTCTGGACCTTTAATTGATATTTTGAGGAACTGTTGCAGTTCACTGAGATGGTGCAATGTTTCAGGGAGATGAAGATGATAAAATATTTAAAAAGGTTATTTATTTAATTAAATTCCAACAATAAAGAAGATATAAATAATCTAAGTGTGTGAGACAGAGTGCTACACACAAACAATACCAGACAAATGAAAGGTGAACAAAGAGGAACTTAAATACACAGTGATAATGCACTAAAGGGTGAACAGGTGTGCTGTTTAATTAGTGTCCATGGTAACTGATGGCTGGCGGGAAAACTAGAACAAAGGAAATAGGAAAGTGATGAGAAACAAATTAAAAGAACAATGAAACCATGATAATGAAACTAAAAGAACATAACTGAGAGGTAGCTCCTTCTGAGTGCTTCATTTATTTAGTCTGGAAAAAAACACAAGATGCAGTTCCTTTGTATTACAATACATTTAATTGGCAAAATGTAAAAAAAATAAGTTGTATAAATAAAGTTGTATGTATTAAATATGTGTAAATATGTATATATAGTATGTATATATTTATTAAATTAAGTGATATATTTGTAGTACATTACCAGTCAAAAATGTGTGTGTATGTGTGTGTGTGTGTGTGTGTGTGTGTACATATTCAATTCAATATATGTTGTCTGAAAAAATTATATTATCTTTCACAATGTTCTTCCTTACTTAAATGTCTTATTTATTTATTTTTTATAGTTTTTATAGTTTTGTTTTCTTGTTATCATTACAAAATCAATATTAAGACATTATTTTTGTGCAATTTTTAAGAATTAAAAAAAAAATCTTGAAGTAGAGGGCACATGCTAATTTTGATGTCCTAAAAGAGTTGCAAGATTGTGTTTGTGGACAGAATAAATGCAGCAAAACATGAAAACTGTACATTTTTAAAGAGCAGGAAAAGCTGACAATGCTGTGTGTGTCTGGAGGGAGTGTGATGTGGCGGTAATGCCAAGGTCACGTAAAGACTGCATGGAAAGACACGCACAGAGCCTCATGAGGGAACCCACACAGTTTTCACATATAAATATAGAATAAAGTAGGTTGTGTGAAAGAGGAGGAATAAAACACAGAGAGAAAGAGAGAATAAAGGATATGAGAAAGTAAGATTAGATCCAGAGATACTGCTCTCATTGGCACCGGCTATACTGAAACACTGCAGAAACTAAAGGAATTATTCCACCCATGTGTCTGACAAGGGCTCTGTAAGTGCTTCTGTTGTCTGCCCACTTACCCTGTCATCCTTCACTCTCGATTTCAAAAACATCTTTGTGTGTGGTCTCAATTGTGGAGGAGTTTGTCATGCCATACTTCACATAGCCCAGTGAGTAGTGTGGTGTGTGTGTGTGTTTATGTGCGAAAGTGTGACATTTCTTATAAATGTTCTTTCTAAGTTAAAACTGATCAATATTAACAGTGACAGAAGTCATGCATGATCTGTTTTTAAAGGACCTGTTCAGTAATCATGTAAAGTGGCAGAGCCGGTGCTCCTCTAAGGTCATGGTACAATGTAAATGGATTGTTTTATAATTGCTGCATTAGTAGAGGAATAGACTACTGTAATAGGATTTGTATCGTGGTGTAGAAGCTTCCAGTCATGCTGATTACTGAGCAGATAAAGCAGTGCTGTGGACACAAAGGATTACGCAAGCTGTCATGAGACATGTGGACATGTGTGCTGAACAGACACATGCATTTATCTACATAAAACATCATCTACTCACCATATACAGGAGGTGATCTTGTGTATACGGTGGAACATGGCGTCATTCGTGGTTTGCAGAGGCCTTTGGTACAAGATTTGACAATAATGGTGAGGAAGAGCCTAAAGACCAGCTTACAATGAATTTCTATGCTGGTCCAGGTTGGATTATCCTGGACTATCTGGTGGCTGAGCAAAGCTATGTTGTTCACCAGCAAAACTAATATGGTCAGAGATCCCACCTTGTCCACATTGCCCCTTATTATCCTCCATCACTCAAAAATGTCAAGTCATTATGTGATGTGAGACACTTGGTTCCATTATTTCAGTGGTGTCTGTGCCTTCAGTGTGTCTGAAGGGAAGACAGTGTGCTTAGGTATTGCTGGGCCGTCATCGTTACTGGTCTCCGTTTAATGCTTGTGGGTAATGTGGCCTTCCTCAACTCTATTTGGGGATAAATGTTACTTGAACTCTGTCGGGCCTCCTCTCATCTGCTGTTCTGCCTTCAGTTATTAGTAAATCCTTATATGGTTGGCTTCCATTACCATACTTGTCAATGAACATACAGATTTTTACTCTAGACATTTACACTACAGTACAAACATTTGGGGTCAGTAAGATTTTTTTAAATGTTTAGCAAAGAAATATTTTATGCTCACCTGCATTAATTTGATCAAAATACAGTGAAAACAGTAATATTACATTTTAAAATAACGAAACCTAAGTCTTGCCATTTCTGTTGTCCTTTTAGATATTTAGTTGAGTGTGTGTAGGTCAGGATTGCCTTCATTGTGAGGACCTGCCAACACTTTTCTCTACTATGTAATTTAGTCTTCCTTGTAAGCATTCTGAATTTATTTGAGTGGATCATTTTTTATTTGGACTGTACTAATTTTAGGCTTTGGTTTACTTATGTGTGTGTACTAAGTTTAATAGCATGTTGTCTATCTGTCTGTCGTTCCCTCTCTAGGAAACCTTTTCCAATTGGGGACAGAGTGACGTTCAGTGGTAAAGAATGTGTCTGTCAGCACTGTTCCCTCAAGCTGGTTAATTCCAATGAGCCAATCAAAATCCATGGGCCCAGCCGTAAGTCCCATCCTTCAATTTAAACATTTTCCTATTCATTTGCATGACATGAGGTCCACATGTTTGTGTGTTCGTGTAGATTAGGACCAGCCAACAGTCCTAACAAAGAAAAAAAGGCTAGATAAATAAGTATAGTAAACCGTATATAAGTATTTTGCCAAATCTGCCACTCAAAAGTTGAGTGTGTGGGTGTGTGTGTGTGTGTGTGTGTGTGTGTGTGTGTGTGTGTGTTTGTGTTTGGAAATTCACATTCATAATTCTCCATCTCTTGGGTGTTTTTAGTAGTCTTCCTTATATATATATATATATATTTTTTTTTTCTGACTGCCTGGGAGCTAAAACCCTCCATATGGCTGTATTGACCTGCATGTCTCTGAGGGGAGAGAACAGACCCCTGTTCAGGGGCGGACTTAACCAATAAGCGAGGTAAGCGGCCGCTTAGGGCCCCGGGGAATCAGGGGGCCCCATCTGATAGGCCTATTGGCGAAACATATTTGCAGCATTGAGCAATGTAGCCAATCACAGACATATCGTTTAATTTCTTGAACGTAATGACCCGAAGTGTTTAAGTTAGAATCCACTCACCGCTCAAAATGCCAAGTTTTTGTCAAGTGCTGAGTTCTGCAAGCTCGGGAATCCTCTCATTATAACAAAGTGTAGCTACGATGTAAATAAGAGATTAATTGTGCCATGTAGAGAGCTTATTAACGGAATGCGTGAGATCGCAATGAACTGAAGTGACAGCTTTTAGTGATTATATGAGGGAGCGCTCTTTTCGCACATTCTAGGCTGTATAATACTGTCTGACTGTCTCAGAACAGGGATATTCACCTCAGTAAAGAAATTATTGTATTTCAAGTCATAATTTTATTTTTCTTGATGTTTCAAAATGACTCGCTGGCTTGTGGGCTTTTCGTATAAATCCACGAATGCAATGACTGGATATTTTCGCTTAATAATAGGCTAACTTAGATTACATTTTCGATTTGTTTCTCAGCAAACCCTACCGTATGCCTTCAGAATTGATGAGTTGCATGGGATAATTTTATGTTAGTAAAACATTTGACTAATTACTGGTTGTGAAGGGATAAATAAACTATAAACTATGAGAGCGAGCAAGCAAAATAAGGGTTAGGAGTAAAAGAGCACATAGTTATTCTGTTGGGGCCCCATACCTGGAATTTGCTTAGGGCCCCCAAATCACTAAGTCCGCCCCTGCCCCTGTTCAACAGATTAGAAAATGTGTAGCGTCTGGGTAAACAGAGGCAAAATGCTGTGAAGTTTTTATAAAGGCCAGAGATGAAGAGCGTCTGAGCTCTGTGTCTGTTTACTCTTTGGTTGAACAAATGTAGAGAGTCTGAAAATATATGAACTTGTCATTTTTCTGTGCATTCTTTCCCATTATGTATATATATAGTAGGGCTGTCGGTTGATTCACATTTTTTTATCTAATTAGTTACATTATGTGGCAATTAATTCATCTAATTTTCTAAATAATAAACTAAAACTGCCAGTAGGTGGCAGTAAATATCGGTAAAAAAAATGTATTGAGTCATTCATTCATTCGATTAGTACGAACTGCTGATTCATCCAGGAATTATGTAAATAGCTGTCTTTATGATTCGGCCTTTTAATAATTGGTTCAGCCGATTCGTTCAAAACATGGATTCATTCAGAAACTAATCACCGCTGTGTGTTGCAGTCGTGTTGCACGGAGTCGCACAGTAGTTCTGCTGTGGCTTTAAAGCCTAGGTAATATTTTTGTTGGTAAAATTGAGCAAAAAAAGACAACATTGTGTCATTGAGGAAAGAAATTGTTGGAATATAAGAGTGCATACTTTAACATCTGTCTCTGTGTAAAGATTTACCTTATTGATCGTGAAGGTGAACTGAAGAAAGCCGAGCTCTGTGTCACGGTGCAAATACTGTAAATATATCTGAACTTCTTCCAAATTAAAACAAATGATGCACTGACCTTTCTGTGCTCAAAATCCTGTTACGGTCATACATCATATGCTGGCCTACCCAGCCTATACAGCTCAACAGTGTATTTCTGCTAACCTAACCTCAATACCGATTTATTGATTTGTATTCCATGTGTTTTTTTTATAAACCTGTCAAGGCCGACTGGACACAGGAAAGACTTTTTAACCTTAAGTCCATTATATAACCTCTCTTCCCTTCCTCATGGCTCTTTTTAGACTGTGCAGGTTGTAAGGAGGAGATCAAACAGGGTCAATCTCTGCTGGCATTAGAGAAACAGTGGCACGTCAGCTGCTTCAGGTGTCAGACCTGCGGCCTGGTCCTGACGGGAGAGTACATCAGCAAGTGAGTGACCCTCCTACTGTTGACCTGCTGGCTCTCTTTCAACCACACATTGTGTTGCACAAAGCAGCCTGTTTCTTGAGTTTGGAACCAGATTAACTCTGTTCATTTAATAAATATTTAATCACAGTTTCACTAATATTTTACACATTTGCTTCCAGTAATAGGCCTTTGTATCATTGGTATATGTGGATATAAAATATGTGGATAAATATACAATTCAATTTAGATTCAGAAATTTGTGTGGACACTTTCTCACTGTATATACATTACCATTCAAAAGTCATGTGACTCGAGTAATGGTGTTAAAAATAAATATAAATTTTTTTTATTTTAAATTGTAATAATATTTCACAATATTACTGTATTTTTGATCAAATAAATGCAGATTTGTGAGCATAAGAGATTCTTTCAAAGACATTAAAAGTCTTACGGACCCCAAACTTTTGAATGGTAATGTGTATGTACAGTATATATACTTGATTTACTGATAAGAAGGTGCTCCTGTTGGGGACTTTCGTGAGAATAATAATAATAATAGAGTCACGAAGGTCATAGTTTTTTGGTTTCGCAAAACCTAAGCACATGTATTTTATTTTTGGTAACAGTATAAGAATGTGGTCATTCATGTGAGTCTTAATTTGCATGCAGAGACGGCATTCCTTACTGTGAGTCAGACTACCACACCCAGTTTGGGATAAAGTGTGAAACATGTGACAGATACATCAGTGGACGTGTGCTGGAGGTGAGTCTACATCCCGTCACAGGACCAACAATGAATCCCCCCCCAACCTAGACACAGAGAAAAGGTAGATCTGCCTATGATAACTGCCTATGATGCCTATGATTACAGTGCAATTTAAGAAATAAATACTTTTTATTATCAAGGATGCAGTAAATTGATCAAAATGATAGACATTTGTAATGCAGTTTTTGCTGTTCTTTTGAACTTTCTATTCATCATAGAGTGCTGAAAAAATCTATCAGGGTTTTTACAAAAATATTAAGCAGCACAACTGTTTTTAACATTGATAATAATAAGAGACTTTGAAAAACATACAAAAAAAACCCAAAACAAATTGACCCCAAACTTTTAAATGGTAGTGTAGTGTTATTTGTTAGAAATATAATGTAAGTTTTATTCTTGTCCACAGACCACCTGTAATACCTTTGTGGACTCCATGTAGAGAACATTGAACCTGAGCAATTGACTCATTACTTAAACACATATACTGTAGTAGTTCTTTGCGATGAGTGACTCGTCTTTGATTGCTATTGACACTGAATTACCTGAACTCTACTGAATAGACAGTGATTACGTTGAGTTATACCTGAAAAGAACATGAATTGATCCATCAAGCAGGCAGGTGTACTCACACACAAACAGAGTTCCTGTCGCTCTGTTTGCTCTTATCCCAGGTGTGGCTGGTGTGAAGTGCTCCGTATTCCAGCGAGAGCTCAAGTCAGGTTATTTATAGCTAGTGGGACACAGGCTGATTTATCTCTATCTGCCTGTTTGATGTGCACTCATTCCCCTTAGAAGACACCTAGTGTTACCACATGCCTCTGAGCATTTAGAAGCTGCCAGCTCACTGATTCCTGGAGCAATGACAGCATACACTATGTCTCTAGCTCATAAACTGGCCTTCTTTCGCCACCTGCTCTGTGCCTCCTCTCCACTATGCCCCTTTCTTCTCTGGGCTTCCTAATGAGACAACATTTGGTGTATTTGCAGTGTTTGTCTATAATCAGGTGACTCTACAATTAGATCCTTTAAAATACATTTAAAATCATTTAGTGATACCAACTCTTTTAAGCATAACTTATCTTGTAGTTGATTCCAATCAAATGGAGCAGCATAACTAAATACCCGTTGACCCAATTACTATTACATACATAATAGGCAGTTATTTTGTTGATCTTTATTCTTCTAATGTAGATAGTTCCAAACAAAGTCACAAAAGAATCCGTGGTTGTGTCTCTGAGCAGCTCAGACCATTTAGTGTTTTTGAAGAGAATTTGAGTGAATGATTCAAATGACTTACTGAAGAGAGTCACTTGTTTTGTTCCTGAATGAATAAGTGTTTTGAACAAATTGTTTGAGTGACTGATTCAATGACTCGTTCATAAAAACAGTCACATGATTCATTGTTAAATGAATCAGTTGTGTGAATGATTCAACCGACTCTTTCATGAAGACAGTCACGTTTCACTCCTTAATGAATCAGTTTTGTACTATAATTCAGTTTAGTAAGTGATTAAATGGTTGAGTGACGCTTTCAGAAAGTCATGTTTTTTTCCTGAATGAATGAATGTTTTTAACGAATCATTTGATTGACTGATTCAGTGACTCATTCATGAAGACGGTCACATGTCTTGTTTATCAGTGAATCAGTGTTTTGTACAAGTAGTTTTAGTGGCTCATTCAGTGATTCATTCATAAAGACAGTCACATATTTTGTTGCTGAATCATTTCCAGTTAATTAGTTTTGAACCGAGCCAAGTGATTAAATGATTCAATGTCTCGTTTACAATGACAGTCACATGTGATGTTCGGTTTTAAATCAATCAGTTCAGTGAATGATTAAATAATTCAATGATTCATTCATAAACACATTGTGTGTAGTACCTGAATAAATTCGTATTTTTGAATGAATCAGCTGAGTGAATGATTCCAATGACTCACTTATAAAGACAGTCACTAGTCGCCACCTACTGGTGTAACAACGTAAATACAAACTGTGAAAAGTGTCAGTACTGTTGGACTGTTACAGCAGCACTGCTGGTATGCTGCTTGACTAGCTTGAAGGACCAGTATTAACTGTTGTATAATTCTAATTATAATAAATGAATGCCTTTTTACACCGTACACTTAGGGGACATTTCTGTTTTATCTAATTTGTCCCATTTCCTCAACTAGAACTCTAAACAACCAGTGTAAATATTTTAAAAATTGTTAATTCTCTGCAGTTCTATCAACAAGCTCATATTTTTTTAACTGGCCCAGGGGAACAATTCTCTCAATTACTGATTCTTGGCACTGAAGGATCTACGTAAGCTTTAAATGTGTGTACGGTGAGCAAGAGAGTCATTAAACGTCTGTAGAGCTGAAATGAGTCTTGAGCAGTATTAAAACAGCAATAAAGGAGGAGTGCTTTGTTTCTTAATATGGAGGACACTGTTGAGACAAGTATATGTTTACTGTGTTTATTGTGCTCATGATAATGGGTTTAACAGGTGGAGCATTTATGTGCTGTACATGTTTTAAAATCTTTTAGAGTATCCTGCAATATTTTCTTATTCCTCTGTTTGTCCCTGTCTTTCTCTGTCCAGGCTGGAGGGAAGCACTACCACCCCACTTGTGCTCGCTGTGCCAGGTGTCAGATGACGTTTATAGAAGGAGAGGAGATGTATCTCACAGGTGAGGAGAGGTTACAGAGGCCAACAGCCGGCACTTTCCATGAATAGGGTGCAAAGTAGGGCCTGAAACTCTTCCAAATAAGGAAGTGATTTTTTTTTTTCTTTTTCAACAAATGGTCAGTGAAAGTTGCTTAACTTTCAGAAAATGGTGATTGTCAACCTCAAGTGGTCGAACTACAAATTATATGAGCTGTTTTATTTTCTATTCATTTTCTATGAGCTTTGTCTAACTATAGTTTTAAACACCTAATTTATTTATTTTTCTAACAATGAACATTAAACATAGATAAATATATAATATAATATAAAAATATATAATATATTTAAAATTAAATAAAATTTTAAGATTTCTAAAATTAACAAATAAACTTTATGGAATGAGATAACATCAAAACTGAATGAGATAATATACCTGGTTTACTGCAATTTAGAAAGTGTCCAAATAATAATACTTCTTGAGTGTCTCTATTTAAAAGTTATATTATTTAGGGGGGGATACATAATGTGTATACATTAACATGAGAAATCTCAAATGTCTCAGGTGCCTATGGGATTTGCATTGATGAGCAAAGATCTTATGTCCCAGACAACTGAACACAGAAATAAAAAAACAGGCACTCATTGACATACAGAGAAGTAAGAGTATACAGCTACTGTATGACATTAAAGTGACTTTAGGAGATTTTTAAACTTTTCATTGCACACTTTGGCAATTCTTGTGAGAAACCTTGTGAAAGATGTTTTCTGAAACGTATGAGAGATTAAAAGGATTTTTTTTTTAATTACTCAAAGTAAGATACTCAAACAAAAATATCAAATTGCATTTCATTAAATCATGTTTTTGTTTAGAAAAAATAACTGAGATATTCATTCACAAGTTCATCCTTGTGACAGAGCAGATGAGCACTTTGCTTATAAAAGAGCTCTTTATAGAATATTCCATGACAATCTTTCAATATTAGCTTCATTTCCAGACCATCATGAACAATATGCAAGATTCACGTGGGAGATAAAGGCTGTAGTGAGACTTTTATGAAGAAACTGATGTTGTTCCACAAAGAGTCACAGAGGCTCATCTTGATCCGTCTCAATGCCCCATTCAGTGGATTTCCTCTGTAGAATTGTGTGATCGCTCATATGACTTCCAGTGCCAGCGGCTGGCGGACATTAGAATGCACCGCAGGTCTTTCTCTGTGTTTGTCTGTTCTGTTTCACATTCAGCGCGGAGATGTGTAAGTGTGTTACAGGCTAGCGAACACGTCTCGAGGTAAATGCATTTAAAAGTCAGCAGAGCCGGCCGTCAGCACATTACTATCATGCAAAAAGAGAGAGGTACGTAGGGAACAAGAAAGGGAGAGAATGAGCCAAGGCAGAGACAGAGCATCGGATTAAAATACCCATTCATCTGAAATTGAAATACCAGAGTTGAATGAATGCACTCTGGCCTTTCTTCTCATAGAGTCATTACATTAAATGTATTTGCCTTAGCTTGAGTTATCCATCTGCTTCCAAATCTCAAACTCACCATTGAGGTCAGGAGGAATGTGACAGGCAGACAGGTCTAAGATGGCAAATTTAATACAATTTGCAATAAAAATCTCATAGTGCAAGTCCATCAGGGACATTTTCTTCAAAAAAGGACATGGAGCCAGTTCCTACTACAAAAAAAAAAAAAAT